TTTTTTTTCCTTGCTCCAACTCTAACTCCTTCAAAGTGGGCTGAATACATTCTATTTGCCGCGTTGCTTCTCGTCGTCTGCGTAATATTTGCCATCATGGCTCGGTTCTACACTTACGTCAACCCAGCGGAGGTCGAAGTGCAATTTGATGAGGACGAAAAGAAAAAGAACATGGAAAAGAGCGACCCATATGCTGCATCAGGCCCTGACTTCCAGACACAGATGTGAGGGCCGGAAAGCACCTGCAGGACGACTAGGCCCAGCAGGTGCCCTGACCTGTATCCCAGGTGGCAGGACAGACAGTGGATGGATGGCCCCTGGGGGGATGACTTCAGAACTGGCAACCACACCATGAGAGCTGTGACGCCAACAATGACCCTAGCATTCCGGAAGAAGTCTCTTTTTTTAATGTGTTTAACTCCGTACATGCACACCCCCCACAGAGCCTTGCTCATAACCCCGAGAGCACCGTGTTTGTCTCCTTTCCTACACACATGACATTGTTTTGTACTAACTTCATTTTGAAAAAAGTTCCATACCATTTGCATTTTAACACTGGCAGAAGCCAATGCCAGAAATCCATCTGGAGGTGTTAGAATGGTCTGTAATAAGCACCAGCTAGGATGAACTGGGAATTTTAACTTTTGAATTGTTTTCTTATTCAAGTCTCTACCTCTCTTTAAATTATGTGTAACTCAAAAGACCATTTGTATGAAAGCCAGTAATGATTTTTAAAGTGTCAATGGTATGAAATAAATTTCTCCTCTCAAAGTAAGTGTTCCCGTGTCTTTGAGTAAGAAATCTTTTATACATTATGTGATTACAAGAGCAGTCCATGTTCCTTACCATTTCACGGGAAATTGGTGTATCAACAGAAACAATGCCCACATAGGAAAAGTCCTAGCGACGGGAAACACGAAAGTTTGTTTCTCTCTGGTCCCTGTTTTCCTAGGGATGGATAGATGGACAGATGAATTGGTAAATACGAGGTCGGACAGTTAAATCCACAAACTCACCCTAGAAATAGTGGTACACACCCCCTTGATGAATATCACTACAGTCACCTTTAAAGTGCTCCCCTCGGAAAGCTGTCCCCCAAAGGCAGCACCTAGTCCCTCCTTCAAAGCAATTTTTCTAAGATGAGTTTATGAACTTAATTCTCCAACCTCATGTAAGGAGAGCTCTGATGGCCATTCCAGAAAAACAGTTTTAACATTGCTTTGCAGGGTGGGCTGGGCGCTGGCATCCGTGCACAGCTTCCCAAGGGGAGCACTTCGAAGGTGTCTGTAATGATATTCAGCACTGAGGTTTGCAGCACGTTTTCTAGGATGAGTTCTCGTACTTAATTGTCTACCTCACAGATAGACTTCTCTTTGATGATGAGGCTCTTAAAGTGCATATTTGTGTCCCATCACAGTGTTTCTCTCAAAGCTCGTGAAATTCTCCTACTTGAGTAAAAATGCTCCCAAGTCACTATGAACTCTTAGTGCCTAATTCACCCTCCATCCAGACAGTTAGCGTTTACGAACCCGTCCCTGGCGTCAGGGCCAGAATGACTCTACTTGGCACTCCTACACAGACAAGTGACAGGTGTTAGACAAACGTGTGCAGCTCTGAGGACTGAAACTGCTTCCTGGCTTAGAAGGAACCGCTCTCCAACTCCATGTTGCCCTGGCTCTGCGGAGGCTGCACTGACGGGGGATTCCAAGTCCAGAGTGAGAAACAAACGTGGTCGTCAAACCTCCCTTCACACCTTTTCGAGCCTGAGAGTCAAGTTGTAACTCCCCATCTAGGGCCTGTGAGGCTTCCGTGGTTTTGGTCTGGACACGTCTCCTTTCTCTCCACACGCTCGGATCCAGCCAACATTGGCCTCCTCCTCGTTCCCAGGATGTATCACGTTCTCGTTCCTGGGTCAAAGGTGAGGCCAATGAGACCCTGAGACACTTCCAGCCCCACTACCCGCCACCTCCAGCCCCTCCACCTAAGTTATTATCAGGCCACTTCCTCCGGGAGTTTTCCTGTGTCCCTCCCTCCCATGGTGGAAGTGTCCCCACCCTGAGCACCCACAACACATGTCACCGTCAGGTCCCCCGCCTCGGCGTGCTGTCACTGGCGGGCTTCCCCACACTGAGAGCTCTCGCTGGGCTTCCCGCTCACCACTCAGTCTCCAGGCAGGGTAGACGTCTACTCGTGAAATCCGCATTTTCCACCTCCTGACTGTGAGAAGTGAGATGGAAAAGGCCGAGAACAGATTATTGGAATTTAATCAGAGTAGGATTTGAATAAGCCTAGTTAGTGAAAGGCTACTAACTTTGCCACTGTGATTATTTCTACTCTCTAATTAACATTTTATGCCTTTGACACATGTGTCAAATGGTTAATTGCAGGAAACACACAGGAGAAACAAATGGTTACAGTGATGAACCCTCGATTTTCACTGCTCACTATTCCCCGTAATCCAAAAAGAACTAATCCTAAATCCTTAAAACGTATTCTAATGCCAGCTCTTACAGCCACTGCGAAACTTGGGGAAACTCCTGCTCTTTTAGATCTCATTCCCTGTCCTACGAGATGAAGAGACCCCAGACAATTTGAGGCCCCGAGAGCCCTGTGTCTGAGGTGCTGGCACACAACAGGCCTCCTGACACTGAGTGAAGGATGATGCCCCGGCCCTCAGCTGCCCCTGCTGTTAACGCTGCAGTGTGCTTTGCATAGGGGGACAGAGTCGCCTACAGGATCTGCAACCTTTGAAGGAGACGCAAGGGCAGAGAGGGGCACTTGGGAGCTTCGTCCATCAGGACTGACTTTCCAGACTAATCCTTCCTCCTGGCTCTCACTTGACCACTTCTTCCAGCACAGTCAAGACCTCCAGGTGCCAGTGTGGGTGTTGTTTGTCAGACCTCATACAATGGCAGGTGTGTTGGGGTGGGGTGGGGTGGAGGGAACTGCAGGAGGGCACACCAGCAACCTCTGCTCATCTGCCCTTTCCCAGCAAAACAGTCCTTGTGCCTTTCTCTAAATTCCAGGCTGATCTGTGTACAGGCAAAATGCTACCCCGACTTGAGCCTTGTTAGAGGATAACTCAGCAT